GGAAGGAAGGAAGGAAGGAAGGAAGGAAGGAAGGAAGGAAGGAAGGACAGAGAGATGGAGGGAGAGAGGGAGACTTCCAGATCTTAAAGAAATAGGGATAATTGGCATACACCATTTCTTGGTATATAGGGAGTTTTATGAGTTATTAAATTAAATGTGAGCCTTTTACTCATTTGGATAGAATCTGTTCTGCATAATTCTTGATATCTAAACCTAAAAACTGCTTACTTCTTAGCTTGCATTCTCCAAATACTTATATCATAAAAGTTTACCTTTTTTTCTACTTCCCATCCCACCTAAACTTGTATTGCATAAAAGTATACCTATGAGGCAAATTGGATCCAGAAAATAAAAAGAATTTGACCTTGAGCCCTTCAGTTTAGAGGTAGCTTCTGAAACTGCAGAGAGATGTTTCCAAGCTTTTCTATTAACTACCTGACTTTGTGTTTATTTGCTTTTCTAGACTTGCTAGCCATGTAAATATACTCCTAGGGTGTGTACTTTCACATAACTAAAGTGAAGAAAGTGGAAGGTGGGGATTTAGTGGTTTTAAGCACTTATTTAGTGCAATTCTACGGGAACTTTAGTTGATGATTTTGTACTTTGTTTCTGCTATATGGAGGCAGCATATTAATTGACAGTATATGAAAAACTCCACTAATTGTGCAAAGAGATTGAGCCATTGGTTATTTTTCTTTGTTACTTCTTCCTACAATAAAAGGAAGTGTCTCTTTTGGAAGGGCAGATCTTTGGTCTGTACTGGTGAACAGAATCATAGACAAGAGATGGGCTTATGGTCCAATGTCTACAAAATCTAGGAGATTGTTTGAATACCATGGCAAAAAAAAAAAAAAGTGTGTTGGGAGGGAGGGTCATTTAATGGACAGAGCCACGATCTTTTCTCAAGGGGGAAGAAATGCAGTGTAGCATATAAACTTGCGAGTAAAAACAATACAGTGTCTGAAGATACTGGAGATTCAGGATAATGACCCATCTTGGTTTTAGATCCAGAGACCATTCTGAGGATGCCAGGGACATCCTCCAAAATACCTCCTAACTGTGTCTTATGTAAAACTAATGACAAGGAGAAATGCTCCAGGGTAGGAGCGGTGGTTGGAAATGAGGATAAGAGGTTCCAGCAGAAGGAAAAAAAAAGGATTCTTCCTAAGGGAGAACTATTCTTCCTGTTACGCAAGAGGAAGTTTCGTCTGAACCTTGATTACAAAGAGTATTTCCTTTATACCAAATAAATTCTACTAATACCAGGGTAGCTGAATAGGTTTTATCTCCTGTTTGATATGTAATGTCTGGCCTATGGTATTGATGGCTTAAAAATCCCTGAACTTATTGGTGATTACCTATTTGTAGTGAGGACCCAGCAATGAGAGCTGGGACTTCCCCTGCCATTAATTGATTATATTTACCTTCTACTGGTTGAGCAGGTATTTTCAAAGTGCTTTCATAGTGGTGCTAGTAGCCAAGTTCAGATGCCCTCATACCTAGCTTCTTTCCACATACACCTTGCCCACGTTCCTTCAGACACAAAGTGGCATCTTCATTTTGATAATCGCATTTGTTTTCTCTCAGGGATGCATGGCACCAAGATTGTTTATTTCACCTACGTGGCCACTGAAAAACCATGGATGGCTACTTGTAGATAGCTTGATATAACTTTTAAAATCCCTGGACTTTCATTCTGTCCTGAATTTCCCCTTTGATCATGGTTTATTAGCCATGGCACATAGATGAGTGGACAAAAAAATTCAGCAGTAACAGATTTGTTCAAATTTAGTTTGGGCAGAGAATCAAAAATCAAATCCACTTGGAATATATACGCGTGTGTTTATGTGTAAAGAAAGGTGAAACGGGGACGCCTGAGTAGCTCAGTTGGTTAAGCGTCCGATTCTTGATTTCCGCTCAGGTCATGATCTCAGGGTCATGAGTTCAAGCCCCGCGTTGGGCTCCTCACTGGGCGTGAAGACTACTTAAAAAAATTTTTAAAGGTGAAGACATGCATGTATTTATGTGTGAGAGCTGATAGCATTTATATGCCCATCACATATTCTCCACCATCATATTTACTTTTCTTTTTAACTGGAAGCTTCATAAATGTTAGTTGCAGGAATCTTTAGGATAAACTGTTTCCAATCGTACTAGTACAAATAAACAAATAAAAACCAGAAAAATGTTTGGTGTCCATAGGAAGATACTGAGCCCCAAAGAGAAAACATGATACTCACACTGCAATAATTGAATAGGCATCCTCCTAATGATATGTAAGTAGCTACCTTACAAGGACAGATTTCACAAATTAGGTTTCTATTTATCCAGAACAGCATTGTCCGGTATCCAGAATGGTAGCCACATGTCACTATTTAAATTTAAATTAATTAGAATTAAATACAACTTAAAATTCACTTCTTCAGTCACACTAGCTGTATTTCAAGCGCTCAATAGCCCCATGTGCCTGTGGCTACCATTTTGGAAAGCATAGATGACATTCGATCATCACAGGAAGTTCTATTGGAAAAGGAGAGGGATGTGAGAGAATATTTTGAAATTAGGAATAAGGTTGGGTAGATTGAATCTGATCTTTTCTACAAAGCTTGGAGCACTATAAAAAAAAGGCACATCCTTGAAACTGAAAAAAGTTAAATTAAGACCAGTTTACTTGGGAAGCAACAAGATACGAGCATGGTGAACTTTACAGCCAGAAGATTGTGAGATACAATAATTTCCAAAATGACTACAGAAAGTCACAGATGATAGTTCTACAATTGGGCTCTCTTGAAACCAACAGCATATATCTAGTTGTCGTGTGTTGGTAAGCAGAAATCTTCAAAGAAGCAATGACTTTGTTTTACAGTTACTCCAAAAACTTCCATTCCACTTAGAATGCCACAATCCAAATAAAAATGAAAAGATCCCCGATACTTTGCATAAAATCGTTCTTTGCTAGCATGAGATCAGAATGAGTGATAAGAGCATATCATGAGTAAATACCACCATCACTGAATATTTATAAGGCACTTGCAATGTATACAGAATCGTGCAAGTTTCTTTGAGAGCTAGCAGTTTAACAAGAGGCTGCCTCTATACTCAAGTGAAAATCATTAACAGAATGATTCAAGTCTGAGAGGGGCAAACACTTAAAACATGTGCCATTCTGATTAATGGGTAGTGGTAAGAAGAATGCTAATCCTTGAAAATAGAACAGTAATACAGCCTTTGTTAAAAATACCCCTATGAATACAACAAATGTTTTTACTGATAGTGACAAAGGGATTCTATACATGTCAGGAAAGTTGAGTAGATTTATTTGTTCCATATACCGTAACTGTTTTCCCCAAATATGCCATTACTTTTATGATAGGAAAGGGGCACAAAACCACTAGGACATCACTGTTTCTGACATGAATGGAAAAATCTATTCTAAAATAATATTAGAGTAATTGCCAGCAAAGTTCTTTATTTAGAATGAAGTCTGTTAGTTCCAAAATGTAGTGAAGCTTTAGGTCGTCTCTGAAAATATTTCAGTTTGCTCAGTGACCTGATAAGTCAATACCTTGGAAAAGGCATCACTATTCACCATTGGGTTTTCAGATGTTTACCAGGACAGAGGTCTTGACAGCCTACTGATTTGACATTGTTTGCCTGGATTATGAGATCTATGGTCAACAGCAGATTTCTGGACCTAAAATTATTAAATGTAGAGTCTTAACTGGGTTCGCTCATTCATCAGCTGCCAGCTAGAGGTCAGTCTGTGCCTCTGCTGAGGGTAGATGGCCTTCTCTGGAAAGACCTTATCGTCTAGCAAGCTAGTGCAGGCACATCCTTTTTGTGGTGAGAGATTCAGTCACCTAAGAACTTTTGTAGCTTCTGTTTGTATCACATATGTCAGTATCTCACTGGCCCAAAGCAGGTCACATTGATGAGGTTTTTGAGGGGTGACAGTGGGGCTCATGGGGTCCAGAGCCGACAACCAAGAAAGAATTCTTGAAGATGTCTTTTGGTGCAAAAAAAGTGATTTTATTAAAGCATGGGGACAGGACCCGTGGGCAGGAAGAGCTGCCAAGGAACCAGGAGAGACTGGTTATATACTGTGGGGTTGGGGGAGGTAAAGTCCAGGGGAAGTTTCCAGAGAGATTTTCGTATGCTAAAGACTCACAGGGTACTGGAGGCTGAGCTGTTGTCAAGCTAAAGTTGTTTTCCCTCTAGCAAAGCATTAACATGAAGACAGTAAGGAGTTAGTTCCTGGAGAAACATTTTACTCTGCCTGCCTCAAGTATTTATCAATGCGCTGCAGGCCATAAGGAAATGGAGTTCTATATGCCATTTCCTTCAGCCTTTATTTCCCACAATCACTCTGGAGGGGTGATGGAGACTTTTAGGTGCTTCAGGACTATGATCTCTATCATTTTTCCCCCTTTCCTTTGTTCTTGGGCAGCCAGGAGTGCCTGAGGAATATCACACATATCCCACCTGGGGGGGGGGGGGTGTCGCCTGTCAGCTTGCCTTAAGCTCCCTCATCAACGTGCCCCTGAGGCAAGTGGTGAGGCAGGGTGCCTGCCTGGAATGAAAGGGCATTGCATATTTACACCCGGAAGGGCATAGAAATAGGTAAGAGGAATCAGGGTCATTAATGAAATCAATCTACCACAAGTATATTTCACCTAACTATAGAGTGCATGGAAATCTAAAGCAAGGTTTAAATGGAAAGCGTTTTAAAAGGAGGCACTGCATTTATGTCTCCATGATAGAAGAGCCTCCTCTTCTCAGTCTTTGCTCTCTAATAGATTTTAAACAAACAAATGCAAAAGCTCTTCTACTAAAGTAACTCAGAAAGTAATCTACTTCCACCTAAATCTTAATCTACCAATAGATAGAAATTTTGTATCCTCCTCAGGAGTTCTGTAACAAATTGCTGTTCTGAACCTACCTGAATGCAAAAGACAGGTTAGCAAATAAAGAAGAATGTCGCATTCATATCTTGCTGGGGGTGGGGGGGAGTCCTTCCTGAATCAAAAGTTATCATGATTTATTTTTTTCTGATACAAAAAGTTTTTTCCCCAGAGAATTTATATTTATTTATAAATTTATTTATTTAAAAATTATTATATATAATATTTGTAAAGTTATAAAGGTACAAAGGAATGCTTTCCCTAAAATTTACTTTAGGATTTGCCCCATGGACAAACTGGAAATATCACCGCAATTAATAAGCAAATCCATGTGTCTCTGAGAAACAGAACCTAATAAAGATAGTATCTCTACCAACAAAGTTAAACACAATGATCTAAATGATTCGAGACGCTATTAAAATGACAGTAGAGGTAGAAAGGGGAGTTTGGTCTGAATTAAACAGATGAATTGTCTTCATTCAGAAAACTTACTGGATAAATCACCCCTTTGTTTTTCTATTTAGGCAGCGTCAGAATGCCTGCCTGAACTTTTTTTTTTTTTTTTTTTTTTTTTACTGAGGATTAAGGAAAAACAGGAAGTTTGGGCTGCTACAAATCCAGTCCTCATATCCACAATCCAGCAGGCAGGAAAGAAGAAAGCAGTGAGCCCCAACACTGAGAAGTATATGCAGCATTTCTATTTACCTCCTCTTATCCAGAACTTAATCTCATAGCTGCACCTGGCAGTGAGGGAGGCTGGGAAATGTGGTCTCCATTCTGAACAGCCGATGCTCAGATAAAATTTGATAACTCTGTAGCCAACAGAAGGAGAAGACGAGCACTGATGGAACATGGCCAGCGGGGAGGGGGGTGGCTCTTCCACAGTAGGAATCTCTTCTGTGGGCCCTCTGTGCTGGAGAGTCCTTAAGCACTTCACCATGTAGTTATTTTCAGAAATCATTCTCACGAACCCGACTAACTGAATCCAGGAACTGGACCTGTTCCTACCCTCCACTTCCTTCTTTCTACATTCCCTGGGCTTCCAAATACCAACAGGTGATGAGAACACTGTCACGAAAGAAAAGAAAATAGAAACTCAGGAGCCTCCAAGTTTGCCGTAGTCCCCACCGTTAACATGAACTGCAGGACATAGTGTTTGATGAGGCAGACAAGGTAGCCTCTCACTTAAAATATTCACAGCCTAAACTGGGAGTTGACAGTTTGTGAGGGAAAATGTCGATATCCATAACAAATCAGGAGGTCAAACTCTACCAGTTAAGAAACAATGAATTCAGATCAAAGCATCCTCAGATTACTCTGTGACCTGTTAGAGACTTTTCCTCCTTTTTCCTCACGATGGCTAAGGATTTTGGGCAATATAAAACTTGGGGCTGGTAGAACAAGAAAGGAGGGGTAGCTGTGGGCTTCCTTGCTGAGTATTGGACTTAACAAGATTGCTGTTTTCCAAATATTCTTTGAATTGGATCCCAAAAGCCAGCTGAAGACAAATACTTCCTTAAAATTGCGTTTATCACCCTGCCCCACAGCGTTGGTCTTACCCAACATCCTGTGTAGAAAATAGTGAGGGGGTGCCTGGGTGGCTCAGTCCGTTAAGCGTCCAACTTCGGCTCAGGTCATGATCTCTCAGTTCGTGAGTTCGAGCCCCTCGTCGGGCTCTGTGCCGACAGCTCGGAGCCTGGAGCCTGCTTTGGATTCTGTGTCTCCCTCTCTCTCTGTTCCTCCCCCACTTGTGTTTCCCTCTCTCTCTCTGTCTCTCACTCAAAAATAAATAAATAAACATTTATAATAAAAAGGTGAGGCATGCCCAGAGATTTAAAAAAATGAAAATGGTGAAATAATAGGGCCCTATCCAACAATCTAGTAACCCTAATGCTTAGTAGGGGAAGCTAATATTGAATGTTGGTTGACATTTTAACAGCAGGTACTATTTGTAGTTTTTGGTTTGTGGTTTTCCCCCCCCCCCCCCCCCCCAACACGTAAGAAAGAACCAGGAAATATGCCTTCTAACTTCATGGCCATCAGAAATAAACTTAAGCCCTGGCATTCCTTCCTAGCTCACGGTTAGCTCTCGCTCTGCTCATACACCAGCACAACACCCCTGAACATAGCCTTTCACCAAATGTGGGGTGCGAACGCATGGAGCCTTCCGCTATGGTGCTGGGATTTTGTGCACTGGATGCTGAGGGGACAACCGTCCGTGACCCCTCGGATGGATCGGGAATGATAACCCCAAGTGCCCTCTTCTGCTTGTCTCTCCAACGCAGCTGTGAAGTTCGGGAGGATGTCCAAGAAGCAGAGGGACAGCCTGTACGCCGAGGTGCAGAAGCACCAGCAGCGGCTGCAGGAGCAGCGGCAGCAGCAGAGCGGGGAGGCGGAAGCCCTCGCCAGGGTCTACAGCGGCAGCATCAGCAACGGCCTGGGCAACCTGAGCAACGAGGCCGGCGGCGCCTACGCCAACGGACACGTCATCGACCTGCCCAAGTCCGAGGGTTATTACAGCGTGGATTCCGGCCAGCCGTCCCCTGATCAGTCAGGACTTGACATGACTGGAATCAAACAGATAAAGCAAGAACCTATCTATGACCTCACCTCCGTACCCAACTTGTTTACCTATAGCTCTTTCAACAACGGGCAGCTAGCACCCGGGATAACGATGACTGAAATCGGTAAGTGGCGGTCTCCTCCCCCACCTCGCTGTTGGCAATCGCGCTTTGAAGCTGCCATGGTCTTGTTTAGGCCGGGCATTTTCTCAGGTGTAGAGTCAATGACTTGCATTCGTGGCTTCTAAAGAAAAAAAAAAAATGATAATAATAAGACTGTCTGATTTAAAAAGTGCGTTGTAATAAATGGCATTGTTCTCCAGCCCCATAAAAGTTTATGTCAAGCAAAGGAGGAGAGAAGAAATTGAAAAAGGAAAGACGCTATCCGTAAAGAACAGAACCTATCTGTTGGATTTGGGCTCAATTTGGCATAAACACGGGAATTTCAGCAAGAATTCTGAGTGATACTATTTAAAATAAAATAGGGAAGGGATGTAGAACGGGTATGTGATAACTGAATGAGCAGGGCTCCGATTCTTGCTCTAAGATAATTTGGGACAAACCGTAAGCAAATGGGACCTCAGTTTGCTTCTTTGCAAAGGCAGAGGGGTAGATCAGAAAGATGGCTAAGCCTCTTGTAAATCTGAATTCATGAATTCTACATGGGAATAGAGTCTGAATCACTGGCAGTGAAACGAGGGTAGTCTGGAATGTCACAGAACATACGAGCAACAAATGAGTTACAGCGAACAGGGCTAGTCACAGTCACGATGGCATGCTTGCTTCAGCAACCTGACCCTCCTTTGGCTGCAGTGAGCTTTGATCCCTTAAGGCGTGGTCCTCAAGAGTGCCCTGTCCCTAGGTATGCGCTCTCCCGACCTGTTACAACTTTGTTTTGCCCTGTTAAGCTCAGGAGTCTATTAAATGTTTAACCAGTTGAGCTCATCAACTAACTGCCATAAAAATATTGATGGTTTAACACATGAGCGTCCTGGGTACCGAGGCCGCATGTCTCTATCAGGCTTCATTGTGGTATTTGGGGGCTGGGGGGTGGGGAGCAAGCTCGGTCTCAGGAACCTTGGAGCAACCTCCCCCTCTCATCCTGACCTCATCCTGGCCGAGCAGAGTCCTTAAGACCCAGGCCACCTGAGTTCAAATGCCGACTCTGGCTTCTTTCAGCTGGGATGAGTTGCTGGATCCCGGCTTCCTCCTCTTTCAAAAGAGAAAAGTGTTAGTTCCTAGATCACACGGTTGTAAGTAAGAATTAAATGAGTTCATACTCGCAAAGCAGAGGGATGTTGGACACTCGGCAAGTGTTCAATTGCTCTTAGCTGTTATTATTTGGATGCCAGTCACCTTCTCTGTCTAAACTGTGAGTAGGAGCCCGGAGCCTACGAGTGTTTTAAATAAAGTTGACGTGAACACATAATGAAGCACATGCCATATGTATCCTGGCTACTTCTGCCATCTGGGTGAGGAAGAAGTGATGTTACACAGTTATACAACCTGAAACATTATTTCTCTCGTTCAGCAATTTAGCACGTGACCGTGACTGAAGGGGTGATTGACAAAGCCCCTGTAAAGACATTCACAACTGAGAGACACAGAAAACAGAACATCCGCTATCGCAACAAAAGTTCATTATTCATTATTATTGCTCCCTTTAACCTTGTTTTTTAACGATGTCACAGGCACTTCACATACATTTAATTTTTACAAACACCTTATAAGTAAAAGTAGGATTCCCATTTTACAGATGTGGACACAGAGGCTTAGAGATGTCTCATGACCTTCCCAGGGTCCTTCGGGTCCACCAGGGCAGTCTGATTCCAGAGTCCTTTTGCTTATCTATTACCCTGTTACCCGCTCTGGGTTTAATATCCACGAACTGCACTGTCAACCAATAGGGACAGTCTTTTAAGGTGGGCTCACTCAATTTCCAAGAGACATGTTAAAAAGAAAAAGAAATAGGTTCCATTTTTTCCTTAATATCTAAGTGTCTGAGTCTGCTACTGATTTTGAACATCTGTATAAAACATAATGAGGCAAACACTCGTCATCGTTGGGCAGTCTTCTGCCCCCTACGAAGACTTAGAAAGTCTTCCAGGAATTCAGAAACCAGTTTCTCTGTGATTTAGAATCAGTTGGAAGTATTAGGGAAAGAGAACTACAGCCAAAGCCATCAAGTCTGGGTACCCTTCTCCAAGTAACACTTCCTCTCTGGCCCTCAGTCTATTTATTTATGAACTGATGCATTTGGACTACATGGTTTCAAAACGCCTCCAGATTTTCTACAAACTTCGATGCTCAGAAAACAGCCAGCATAGATTTTTCCTAACTAGTTCTCGGTACCACTAGTCTTTAGAGTTCTCTGGATATGCTGTAAAGTTTGGAGGTTTCTTCCATCAGACTGTCAGGCATGGAATTAGATTGTCGTGGCTGGTCTCAAATTTAGCAGGCTCCTAAGCCAAAGTGTTGACTTGGTTCTCGTTTCGTTAACACAACAACGCCATCTAGTGGACACAAACTCCTGCCATGGGTATCAAAAGTGGGTACCTTTGACGAGCGGCAGTAATGGGATACACTGTTCTTTCCTGCACCATCCAGAAAACTGCCACTCATTTCACGAAAACATTAAGTCCGCAACAGCATCGCTGGGCAGAAAGGCATCAGTAGTGTGGGGTGGTGGTATGATTCTAGAGCTGAATTTTGCCTGAGTTCAAAAACCGGGTGTGCCCTTTCCCATGAGCAAGTTACCTAATAGCCTCTTTGAGTCTCAGTTGTAAACCTGGAACAATAGTAGTCCCACCAGTGTGTGTTGATGAAGTGAGTTAATATTCCTAAGTTCTTAGGACAGTACCAATCAAGCATTCGCCTTATTATAATAGAAATGGTATTGCAATTTTATTCATCTCACGATAATTGATAACATTACCAGCTGTTACAGACAATATAATTACCTTTTATTGAGCACCTACATTGTGCTGAGCAACATCCTATATTTAATTTTCATAACAATTGTATTATGCCTATTATGGAAGTATGTTTATGTCCATTTTACAGATGGAAAAAAAGGCTCAGAAGTTACAAAACTTTAAAAAAAAAAGCATAATCAACATACAAGCTCAGGTCTGAGTAACATTAAAAACGATTCTTTGGACCATCATATTATATGTCCTCCCACCAAAGGGAGCCCCTCGCAAGTTAGTTGGCGTTCCCATAGCAAAACATGCTTGGTGTTTGTTGCCTGCCTGTTGCTCTTCTAGGTGCTACAAAGGAGCTCTCAGAGTGGGAAAGCTGACCTTCTGACCTGGCTTGATTTTTTTTTAATGTTGATTTTCATTTTGAGAGAGACACAGAGAGACCCTCAAGTGGGGGAGGCTCAGAGAGAGAGAGGGAGACACAGAGTCTAAAGCAGGCTCCGGGCTCTGAGCTGTCAGCACAGAGACTAATGAGAGGCTCGAACCCGTGAACTGTAAGATCATGACCCGAGCTGAAGTCAGACGCTTAACCGACTGAGCCGCTCAGATTCCCCTGACCTGACTTGATTAATGAGCATCTATACTAATCTCGCTGGTGACAAGCTGTCACAGAACAAACCCTATGCAGACAAAAGAGACAATCTGATTTTAGCCACATTTTTGACTGGGTGAATTGAAGGCTGTAAGGGCGCTACAGGATTTCTGAACATCGTGCCTGGCTGTTAGAAACCCTGGTCTGCTTCCTCTGGTTTCTGAAGGAACAGTGAACTGTGTACAAGCAGGACACTATTCTGATATTGAATTATCATAAAAACAGCTGTAAAACCAGTTTTCGGACTAGTTCATGTAGAATATGGCCTTACAGCTTGGAATTGTTTAATAAAAATACATGTTTGTGAACCATCAAACAGGGGTGCCTGGGTGGCTCAGTTGGTTAAGCATCCGACTCTTGATTTGGGCTCGGGTCGAGATCTCACATTTGGTGAGATTGAGCCCCACGTCGGGATCTAGACTGATGGTGTAGAGCCTGCTTGGGATTCTCTCTCTCCCTCTCTCTCTCTCCCTCCCCCCCACTCTCTCTCTCAAAATAAATGAATAAATATTTTATAAAAAGCATCAAACAAGTGTACAAGCAAAAGCAGGCAGATCCCAAAAAGTAAGCTTAAGGAATATCATCAGAGTCAGGAATATCCCCCAGAAAATCCAAACTTGTCTTTCTAAAAATGTACCAAAGAAACTACAGACTTCTTAGGTTAAGGACCTAAGACTCAATGTAAGGAGAGAAGTGTAGAAAATGCATGTTAGCCATTTTGAACCTCATAGCAATGCCTTCAAGTGGGTAGTGACGAAATCATTCCATTGTGTAGATGAAGAAATTAGGGGATTTTCCTTGAACAGAGTGAGTTAAGTGGTAAAGCTTAAATTCCAACGTAGGTTACTACCTCAGACTGCCAGGCGTTCTTTCAAAAACATATTTTTGAAATGTGCCAGGCACTCACAACCAGCAGACCGTGGCTCCTGCCCTCACCAGCTATGATGTGGACATGAAGAAAAATCATTGCAATTCAGTGCGTCCTTTACTGTAAGTCCTGGGTATGTTACCACAAACCCTCCTGGAGGTGAGGAAGAGGGGGGTATGGCTTGCCCCGAGCCATATCTCTTATCAGAGATGGCTTCTTCCCATGGTCTTGGTAAGACAAAACAAAATGTGGATAAACAAACAAAAATATGAAACATGTCAAGAATTATACCCTTGGGTTTCTCAAAATCCCATCGGAGGAAAAGCGATGAAATAAGGCAGGGACAAAAGTAAGCTGCAAATGAATATTTAGGCAGGAGTATTAACTGGGTTTAGCTGGAATTTCACTGCAAGCTGGCATGAGGATGTGTTCTATCTTTCGGGGTAAAATTTTGCAGTGGTTGGTGGTAGGGAGGGGATGCTGGGGAAGGGGTACCCGGCAAGCAAGCAAAGAAGAAAGGGGAGACTCTTGTATGCCCTCCCCGCCGTCGCTCTCAGATGGGCTGGGGGATTCCGCAGGACTAATACTCTTAACAAAAGCCCATTTAAGTTCAAAGATGGTTGATAATGTATCTGTGAGGAGCTAGACAATAAGATAGTCCAAATAACCAAACAAATGCTTTCAT